CAATGTACCGCCGATCATTCTGATTTTCAATTATGGCTGTTAATGCAGGATCTATGGCGTCTTCCAGTAATTCCAAATACATTTCACCGGTCAAATTTCCAGGTAAGAAAAAAGGACCAACTAAACGATCGCCAAAAATACCAGCCCAAACATTTAATTTTTGTGGCTGCTGTGTATGAACCTCATGATAAATTCTGGGAATAGAATCGGACCAATATCGGCAGTTGTGACGATTTACTACGCCATTTAAGAAAAAGGAACATTCGTCGGAAAAGCAAGTGTTGAATTGAAAATGTTCATCGTTTATAATTCGTTCACTCATATCTTCACAAAATTGTAATCGCCGATAAAAATCGTCTTCATTAAGTTCTTGTACCAGGTGAATTTTATACGGATGAAAACGATGAGCTTTTAGAATCCGTTGGACAGTACGTCGACTAACACCACACACAGTCTCCAACTTGCGGGTACTTAACGTAGGATCTACATAAACTTGCAATAAAAACCCCCACTTCTATTGCTTCGTTCCTTATGGGATTTTCAATGTTGCGTTTTTTATTGGCGACTGACCCAGTTTCCCGAAATTTAGCTACAAGTTCTAGAACATATTTTCGATGCTCGTTACTGTTCTCACGTCGCTCATTAAATATTTCTGCTGTTCTATTAGCGCACTGATTATTTCCGAAAAATATTTCGATAATTTCAACTCTTTCTGCTGTGGAATATACCATGGTTAATTTATGTAATAAAGCGTTACAAGTTATTTTAGCAACAAAGTTTGGTCAAATCAATCGCAAATTATGTACTAAATTCCTATTTAAACTAAGTACGAGATATTTCCTTATCTTTCTTCAAGAAATAACTTTTTTGCCACAAAAAAACGCTCCAATAGCTATTTTCAACAACAAAATGTTAAACAAACCATGGACGTAGTGAAGAAAAGCATTTACTTATTAAGTAAATTCTTTTAGTCAAATTTCTTCTGAAAGTAGTGCAAACTAATCATTTGTACCTCTTAAAGTCTGCTTTAAGCTTTATATCAATAAATCTTCAAAACTACTGAACTGAAGTACATTAATTTTATATCATTATAAAGGGAATTGAAAGACCTTTAAAATAAAGTATCACTCGACCCCCTTTCCATTTAAGATTTTAGGGTTGGTGTCACCCCCGCCCAGGGGGCTGCACGTGTTAACGTGATCTTTTGCCAAACTTGTGTCCCCCTTAAAAACAAAATCGACGGGTCTAAGCGTTTTTCAAAAAAAAAACAGCTGCCGGTAAATGCGTCTGTTTCGTTTTCGATGCGCCACCCTGTATAAGTACGACTCCAGTATTGACGTAACGTATGATTTATATCGATTTAAATCTCATAATAAAAATTAAGCAGTTTTATGAATTTCTATTAACAATACATCTGTAAGTCAGATCGACATAGCTAAACTAGTAATCATCATAAATGACAGAAAGCAAAAAATAAATAAATAATTATTGAGTTACGTATTTTATTCTCTTTTTGATAACATCGCGCACCAGCCAGAATGCACCCTCAAGGAGTTTGATTGATACTTACTTAAGGTAACTAGACGATACTTTGTATTAGTTTCTTATTCGCCCTTATTTGAAGCATACCGTTCAATAATCACAAGCTCAATTAATTAACCTGTTATCTAGTTGAAATACTGACCAAATACCGTAAACCACACATTGGGCCACATATTATAACAGTTTTACTATATAAGAAGATCTATTGCATAACACTTTCTATGGCTGATGAATTTTTCCAAGTTCAAACAACTGTTAAGCAGCGCCTAGCGAGAAGCCAAATCGGGGACAGCTTACATTAATAAAAATACAACAAGAAAACGCCAATTAAAATGGCCATCCTGATTTACAGTACTTTCCCTATTGAAGTGAACACAAGAAAGTGCTGAAGGAAATCTAGAATGGTAATTTGCTATGCAAAACGTGCCATAAACTTGATATGGCAAATCGCCATGAGTGAGCTGTGTGTTCACGATGGTCTGCTTGTTGCACTATATGATCAGTATTACCCGGGCAATAATTTTCATTACTAAGGTCAAAATATAGATGGAATGCTAGATTTATGAAAAAATCTCCAATTTCCAAGAGGACTCAACTCAATCCATATCAGAAAATACTGACTTCCGGTTGTGGTATCTGGGGGTAGGGAATCAAGAGCCAGAACTCTTATAGAGAGCCTGGAATTTCGGTATTAACTGATCTCATACGTAGAGGACAGAAAACTTAAAGTAAAACTTGAAAATACAAGATATTCTGTTTAGCAAGGTGTAGCTCAGGGGTCTGTACTGCGACCACTGCTATTCAACTTATACGTAAGTGATCTGATGAGCCATATCGATGAAGGGCGCAAGCGCAACTATTATATATTAATCCTAAATTCTAGGGAGACAATTGTGATAAATTTTAATATACATTAATATACAACTGGATATATGTACATGACCTCGTTTTATCTGACTCTTGTAAATTACTCGGTACATATTTTGATAGCAGACTAAATTTTCAGCAACATTTGCTATTGTGTGACGCTCTTATAATTTCAACGGTTTGATACTGCGCAAGTGTGTATGGCCCAGATATAAAAAATGTGATAGAAACAAGTCACAACGGCTACAAAATTCTTGTTACCGTTTTTCCCTGGGTATACGGAAATTTGATCATATAAACCATGTGTACGAAGAAAATTGTAAAATAAACATGAAAAATCTCAAAAAATACCAAAGTTTATGTTTGGCTCATAGGAACCAGGATATCTCTTAAATAAACTCAACAAATATCAATGACTTGCCTACCAGAAATCGACAATTATTGGTTATACCTAAACACTTTACGTCTCTCTATAAAAAAGCTTCCGTTAGACCGCTGTCAAGTTATACAATAATCTTCTAATTGAATTTCTAAATTATATTCTGAATAATTTTAAATGGAAGCTAAAGTCGTGGTTACTCAGCAGTACATAATCAGTCATTCACCACTCTGTTGCCCAGTCTACTTGAATACGAGCAAAACACTAAAAATCAAAATTTAAAAATAGATCAGAAACACAACCTATTTCAAAAAGTTCCCATATTACAACTGCGTCAAATTAATTACAAATTACCAGTTAAAATTCAACAAATTAGTAATTATAATTGATTTAAAAAAGACGTTAAGAAATAGTTATGAAATTATTATAAAAAAAATCATTTTACAATGTAACTGAATATTTATAATGTACGACCTTGCACTTGAGTACATAAAGATAACACCAATAATTATTGATATGTATTGTCACATTTTTTTATAGATCTTTATTGTTTTGTGTTGAATTTTTTACCACATATACAAAAGTGTATTTAGGCCCGTATCGTCAGTCGTCCCTACAATTGTAGGGCGCCTTTATGGCCTCCTTGATTGTCATAGTTTTCTACTTCTCCGTCTCAGAACTCTATTTTGAGCTTATGTCACAAACATCTATTTGCATCAAATTGTGCTTGCTTTTGAGTTATATCATGTTTTATCAGTCTAAAATTTCCTACAATTTAAAAAGAAAACATCTTCACAATAGGAGAGCGCTGACGCTGACACGGGACAAGTGTAGTCTAGAAATTTTTGGAGGAGAGAAAGGTGTATGACAATCAAGGAGGCCATAAACACACCCTACAATTGTAGGGACGACTGACGATACGGGCCTAAATGGATAAGAGTAAATACAAAAATTGAGAATACCGTTATTTGCGGGACATTTTAAACTTTGTTGGTTGAAGATGTACCGCAGAAGAACTTTGAATCAACTTCTACATATGCTTTTATCCTGGTTCTAACCTATTTGGTAATAATAATCTATATTTCAGATTGTACAATGGCATACACATGTAATAAAATGTTACGTCAACACTTTAAGTAGTCTACTCCAGACAGTTTTCTAATAATAAAATTTATAAACTTCATCTATCTTAGAAAAGATTGTTGATTCTACACTTCCTACGCCACGCCGTTATCAGTTCATGAAGGATTGTGTTTAGCCCAAACTGGACCCTCTGAGCAAGTCAGTCAAGACGTGGCAGCGCGGTCAGAATAGGAAACACATACCAGAACAGCATAACACTCACAGAGGCCGGCGGCAGCCGCGGCTGGTAGTCTGCTGAGAATTCGCGATCCATCTTCTGAGAATATTTTTAAGGGCTAATGTACCTGTGTAATGTGTATGTGTATGTAATGTGTAATGTATCTGTGAAATATATTTAATAGTTGTATACAATTAGCAAGGTTGGGAACGAATATATGTACTAACAAAAAATTGAGATAAACCCCCCTATCCCCCTATTGCTTCACGGTACCCATGGGTGTTCAGAGCTTAAACCTTCGTGGTAGCTCAAGTATAAAAAACTAAGTCTTTCTACATCTAAAATTATTTTCAAAAATGATCAGGGTCCTCTGAAACGTCAAAAAAAACGAAGTTTGTGTATAAGTTTTATCGAGCGGAGTTGTTGGCGATTCTAAACGTAGCGGACCGACCGACTGACAGACAGACCGGCAGAAATGAGTGACACGGTTTTTCGAGATGTAAATGTCATAATAACATAATATCTCAATTGCGACAATCTTCGCGACTACAATGTTACCCCACGAGTGGGCGTGGGAAGTGAAGCAATAACATATACTTATTATAGTTCATATGGAACTTGTCTATGCTATAAAGCTTTTATTGCACTAGAAATGCTCCTTTTAAATTTGTATAAACTGTTTATAATCTTAATATTATTTGCAAGATCATTGATAAACTATATTACATATGGACATTCGATACGAGGGATATCTTTTAAGTTTTGCATATAGAAACAGTAGGCCGCGCGGATCGAACGTCAGTACTGAATCTTAACCTCACTCTTTAGTAAACTTAAATTCAAAGTTTCACAACTATACGTGCAGTGTTCTCACTAAAGTGAATGTTTCAGTGTCACCAAGTCATTAGAAAAATGGAACTCAACCGAGAACATTTTCGCGCCATAATTTATTACAACTTTCAGAGACAATTATCGCAACAAGAATGCCTTGCTGAATTACTGTCTGTTTTCGGCAACGAAGCGCCACATCAGTCGACAATTTCCAGTTGGTATGGAGAATTCAAATGTGGAACGGCAGTCACCCAGGAAGACGTCGATGCTGTGCGCAAACTCATCATTGAAGATATACATGTGACATATCGCGAGATTGAGGCGTGCTTGAAGATCTCAAAGACCTCAATTCAAAAAATTTTACATGAAGAATTAGGAGTAAGAAAATTAGTTTCTCATTGGATACCCCCACCTGTTGACTGAAGAGCAGAAAGCAGCCTGTCTGTTTTCGGCAACAAAGTGCCACATCAGTCGACAATTTCCCGTTGGTATGGAGAATTCAAACGTGGACGGGTGAGTCTTAGCGACGATCCCAGGGTGGGTGCACCAAAAACGGCAGTCACCCAGGAAAACGTCGATGCTGAGCGCAAACTCATCATTGAAGATAGACATGTGACATATCGCGAGATTGAGGCGTCCTTGAAGATCTCAAAGACCTCAATTCATGAAGAATTAGGAGTAAGAAAATTAGTTTCTCGTTGGATATCCCATCTCTTGACTGAAGAGCAGAAAGCAGCCAGGGTTAATTGGTGTCAAAAAACGCTAGACCGTTTCAGTTCCGGAAAGTCAAAAAATGTGTACAGCATTGTTAGTGGTGATGGATCGTGGATTTAGTGTTATGAACCAGAAAATAAACGACAGTCGACTGTTTAGGTGTTCCAAGGTGAAGAAAAGCCAACAAAAGTCATCCGTTCTCGAAGTGTTTCGAAAAAGATGCTCGCGACATTTGTGTCAAAAGCGGGTCATATTGTAACAATTACTCCTAATGAGCAAAGCACTGTTACTGCGGATTGGTATACCACCATTTGTTTGCCAAAAGTAATCACCGAGCTTCGAAAAATCAACCCCGAAAGAAGAATCATCCTCCACCAAGACAATGCAAGCTCGCACACAGCCCAAAAAACAAGGCAGTATTTAACGGAAGAAAACGTGGAATTATTGGACCATCCTCCATATAGTCCCGATCTAAGTCCTAACGATTTCTTTACTTTCCCGAAATTTAAAAACAGACTGCGTGGTCAAAGGGTCCAGTGGTCCAGTTTGGATCTGCTGTCAAACGAATGGAATAAATGCTTCGAAAATTGGTTCGAGCGCGTGGAGATGTGTATTAATCTTCGTGGAGAATACTTCGAAAAACAATAAAGTCATTTAAAGCTACATACCGTGTTGTTTTATTTCCATATGCAAAACTTAAAATTTGATGGGATTATGATTCTGAAGTAACTCTTGTCATAAAAATATTCGCTCTGTATAAGAATGTGATATGTTAGAAGAATGTAACGTATGACATACGAGTACAATCGTACGGAACCTGCAAAACAAGCTTTCATGAAAGTGAATCAATTTTCATAGCATCAAGGTATGTACATACTTGTATACCTATATTTAAGTTACTTTATAAGGCATTTCAAGGTGACATTCTGAACAATCACTAATAATTCTGACATGTCGGTGCACATCACTGTCTTGATGGAATGCAGATAATTGTATAAATTTGTTTTTGTAGCAGCAAATAACGTGAGAGAAATTGAATATGCACATAAAGTATGAGAAGTGCCAGTTATTGACAGTAAGATAACGTATAGGACTATAAATAAAATAAAAATAAGGTCAGAAAGAAATATTATATACAGGGTGTTTCAGAAAAAGGTGACAATGTTTCTAGAGTAGAAAGGACCCGAGAAAATAACAAAGAAATCCCAACGCCACTGATAAGTCTGAATAACGACAAAACATGAACATTGTTGAAATTGGCTAGTTTTCAAAGTAGAACGGCTTGAACCCATTTATACGGAATTTACCTCAAACTTCCAACTAAACTTTTCTCATGCAAAATTGAAGCCTTTATCCAGAAATGCAATAGATGTTTCAAAAAAGTCAGTAGCGTAGAAATTAATTTTCTTTTTTCTTCTGTAGGAATCAAAATTTCTCATTTATATTTCTACGCCACCGATATAGTCCAATGCACGAATTTTTTGTATGTAGTGGCTATGCTGTCAGCACTACATTTTATGTTATGAAAATCGGCTAAGTCGCTTGAAAGTTCAGACACATTTTTTCTGTAGGGTATATAGGCTTCAAGATACCCTACATTATTGCAAACTCTCAGGACATTGAAAAACAGTACTAGATGTTACGGTTATGAATGCAGTTGTTTTCCGAGTGTATTTGTTAGTTTCTTTTATATTTTGCTAATGTGATACGTTCCAATTTCCTCATAGAACTAAAACGATATACTACGTGTGTAAAATATTATTACATTTAAAATAGAAAAGCGAAAATGGAAAATATGCACGCATTTTTTATTTTGTTAAGGTCACTTTGTTATATTGTTGCACTACAATTATCGCAATAGTTTACTAATAAGTTTTGCAATTACAAATCGAGCGTAAAATCGGAATCGTGATGAGAAATCCAACTGAAATCAATTAATTAATTTGATCAAGTGATAATGATTTGAAAAATTCGGTAAGAATTTGTATTGGAAAGTGAGCTATTGAGACATATTCTGACAATGGAACATAAAGCTGTTAAGCTATAAGATTCAGCGTTGAATATTATTTTTTGAATTCACTGTTTCTATAATTTCATCATCTTGCACTTTTTGTGAATGAGATAATTTTGACTTTAGTATCTTCGTCATTTTGCGGTGGACGTCTGAAACCTTACATTGTCTCTATATCGGTGTGGAGTATATTTTGACATAAAAAATAAATAATCTATAGTAGATATGGAGTCGCATGATTTTGCAGGCTCAATTTTTTAAAAATGGCTTACCAAAATGTTACGATGTACGTAGAGCGCTATAGAACGATTTTCCAACTCCTCACATAAGCTTTTTTAAAATTCCTATTTTTAGTGCAAGTATATTAGATTTATTTAAAAAAAAATCAATTTGCTTAATTATTTTTATTTAAGGCTAGTTAGACTGATTTGCTTAGATCGTAGTCTAAAATCAAAGTGAAAGAATTGAGCAATAAAATACTTAAACGATTAAATGCTAAAATTAATAAAGGGGTGACTATTGTAACCAACATATCCATGTACTTTTCTTGTCACTTGCGCAGAGAAGCTCAGTAGTTTGTCAATTTAATCAAGAACCACGTTTTAAAAATTACATAGTATTTTTCGAAACGTCCGTTTTCCTCATGAGACTGGATTGGATTCAACTCGACGGAAATATTTTATTCAACTTGATTGATTACTATCGGGATCCAAATTACTACTTTACATCGATGAACCAAATACCGCGCAAGGTTTAAAGCCAAAATTCGTCGCGTAATTGGAAATATAGGCTTTCAACGTCCCAGGTTTTTGAAAAATGTATTTTTTGTGCTTTGAGATAATTGCGATACCCACCTAATTACATTACCTTAATTCACTAATACAATGGTTCTGTTACGGCCGTGGTAACGACTTATTTGTCTGATTACATTCCATACGTCCACAAATTATATATCATTTTTAATTGAGGTAAAAAATAACGACCGACCATAAAATGAAAATATACCTACTTAGCGGCAAGGAAAATAGAACACCCAATAAAAATGGTTTTATTGAAATTTTATATACAGTGAGAGGTAAGGAAGAGGAAGTGATTAAAATGATTGAAGTAAAAATATTTCCTCAAACTTTGTTGGACCATCCCAGTGCCATTATACATTCGACTATTCGTCAGGGCAAGTTTCTCAGGAGATGATTTATGCGTTCTTGAGTAATCCCATGCAAAGATTGCTGTACTTGGTTCCGAAGAACTGCTACAGTTCAATGGGGATGAGATAAAGAGTTGTGGAGATCTAGGAGGCATGAAGAACGCTGACTTGAATGTTATTTAGGCCCGTATCGTCAGTCGTCCTTACAATTGTAGGACGCCTTTATCGCCTCCTTGATTGTCATAGTTTTCTACTTCTCCGTGTCAGCGCTCTATTTTGAGGTTATGTCACAAACATCTATTTGCATCAAATTGTGCCTGCTTTTGAGTTATATCATGTTTTATAAGTCTGAAATTTCCTACAATTTAAAAAGAAAACATATCTTCACAATAGGAAAGCGCTGACGCTGACACGGGACAGGTGCAACCTAGAAATTTTTGAAGGATTGAAAGGAGTATGACAATCAAGGAGGCCATAAATGCGCCCTACAATTGTAGGGACGACTGACGATACGGGCCTAAGACAATTGTAGGGCATCTTTATGGCCTCCTTGATTGTTATAGTTTTCTTCTTCTCCGTGTCAGCGCTCTATTTTGAGGTTATGTCACAAACATCTATTTGCATCAAATTGTGCTTGCTTTTGAGTTATATCATGTTTTATCAGCCTGAAATTACCTACAATTTAAAAAGAAAACATATCTTCACAATAGGAGAGCGCTGACGCTGACACGGGACAAGTGTAATCTAGAAATTTTTGAAGGAGAAAAAGGAGTATCACAATCAAGGAGGCCATAAACGCGCCCTACAATTGTAGGGACGACTGACGATACGGGCCTTAGGTGGGCCGTTGTAGCTCTGGCAACGAGGGGACGAGTATAATCAGGTTAGAAAATATTATTCTTAACCGTTTAAGGAAATAGTCAAAGATGGCACCTCAAATAATAATAAGACTATTACTACTTTACTCCAGTCTCATACGTGCTATTATACGTTTCTAAACAGAACCGAGACTCATCTCTGGAAGCAATGTTATACCATTCATCATCTCAATTTTCTCGGTCTTGGTTCTGTTTAGGAATGCATGATGGACGAACATAAGTCAGAAGACGTCACAAGGAAACATGAGATTTAAAATTTTCAGTTGAAGGTTACGTCTACCATACTGTAGAAGTTATAGTTTAGGCGCGCCTCCCAAGGGGGCATAGAGAGTTGTCAAGAGGGGCGGAAAGCGTTTGCATTTTAGAAAGAAAAAAACAAAAAAAATAAACAAACAACATTAACAAATAACATTACAATGTAATGTTTAATTTACACGGATAAAATTAGAAATTAAATATCATATTCATTTATTCTGTTAACCGCTGTTTCAAAACCTGGCGTCGTCAATAGCAGTTTATACAAGTTTCGACAAGTCACAACATGAAATAAGCGCGCACCCCCGCCGCGTTCCATTTAACATTCTTCACTTACACTACCAGACGCGGATGAGCATCTGTGACATTCATTACCATAATGTACATGTTTTGTTGAGAAATCTGTTCTGAGTGTGTCAAATTGTTGCGTGTCACTGTTAAAAGGTAAGTCTGTGTATTTACAAACTTCAGTTACCATTTTTATTTAATTTACTAAATTGTTGATTGACTGGAGACGCGCTCATAGATGGGCCATTAGAACTTTTTTTACCACATCACAATCAAACCAACGTGGCGAAATAATTTTGAAACGACGAACTTTAAGTACCTAATATTGATTCCAAATGAATTTAAAATTACTATTATAACGTCACCCTGCCTACAAAAATATAAATCTCCCGGTGGCCAATATACTGTTGAATAGATTACGTTATTGAGATAAAATAATGGGCATATAATTAGTAATTACATGTAGGTATTTTGTTTATTTATTTATTACTTATTTGTTTTATTCTTATAGGTGCAAAATGGCAGCGAAAAAAAGAAAGATTTCCGAAGATTACGTTAAGTTTGGATTTACCTTCATAGAAAAAGACGAGTTACAATTGCCTCAGTGTGTGATATGTTTTAAGTAAGGATAGCATGAGGCCCAATCGCCTTGAAAGGCATTTGAAGCAACAACATCCTACTCTGATGATCCCAAAGAAATTTTGTTAATACGATTTTTGAACTGCCTAAGGTTAGTAGAACTGGGAAAAGCTTCCTCCCGTAGATTGTTCCACAATCTAGACACCCTCGGGACAAAGGAGCGGTCGTATCGGCCAGTTCTGGATGTACGAAGTTTGACACGGTTAGGATGGGACGCCGAAGTCAGGCGGGTCTGTCTGGCAGGCACATCGCGCGGCGGCATCATGGAAGAGAGCTCTGAGGAGCAAAGTCCATTGGTGCGAAAGAGTCCCGAGACTGTCTGTTAGAGAAGAGTCATCGATCAGTCGGACCGCCCTCCTCTGAACAGCATCGAGCATGGACAATGTAGTCAGGGCGGCAGCACCCCAAATGTGTGAGCAATACTCGAGGCTAGGCCTTATCTGGGCCTTGTATAGAGTGAGAAGGTCATGCGGAGAAAAGTACTTCTTAGCCCTAAACAAATAGCCTAGCTTTTTCCCAGCAGCTGCAGCTATTGAAGAGATGTGTTCGTGCCAGATCAGGTCCTCGGTGATCTGGACTTCGACCAGCCGAAATGAATGGCTCTTTGGTAGAACTCGACCGTCTATCGAAACTGTATGAGCGCTAGGACGCTTTTTGTTCGTCAAAGTACAGTACTGTGTTTTGGAAGTATTGAACTGTACAAGATTGTTGCGTCCCCAAGCAGTGATAGCCTCCAGGTCTCTTGTCAGAGAAGAAGTCGTCGCTAGTCTTCTTTTTTCCAGCTCAGCGGCAGAGATCGGCTTGTCACTCTGAATTCCTGCATGTAGAGTGCTGTCATCAGCGAAGCTGTGGATTGAGTTGATCGTGCAGGAAAGGAGGTCGTTGATATGTAAGAGAAACAGTGTTGGAGCCAAGACCGATCCCTGGGGAACACCCGCGTTGACGTTGTGGGATGAAGAGGAGAATCCGTCAATTACGACGGATATCTTGCGGTCAGAAATAAAGTCAGCCACCCATCTGCAAAGCTTTACTGGGAGGCCGTAGGATGGAAGTTTGCTTAAGAGGGCAGCGTGCCACAGCTGATCGAACGCTTTCGTGATGTCAAGAGCAACGACATGAGCCTCACCATGAGACTGGATGAGTTTACTCCACAGTTGCATGACGTAAGCTAGGAGGTCCCCTGTGGATCGTTGGTGTCGGAAACCATACTGCCTGTCACTAATCAAGCTGTGACGTTCGAGGTAGTTCAGAAGCACGCGATTTATGCACCTCTCCATCACTTTACTTATAACAGAAAGCAGAGCTATAGGCCTGTAGTTGTAAGGGTCGGTTTTAGATCCCTTTTTTGGGATGGGCTGTACATGAGCAAATTTCCAGTTTTCTGGGAAGGTGCCAGATTCATAAGATATCTGGAAGAGACGCGAAAGAACTGGAGCAAGCTCCGCTGCACATCTCTCCAGTACAATGGCAGGAATCAAGTCCGGACCAGAAGCTTTGTTGATGTCGAGCGACAAGAGCACTCGTCTTACGGTCTTATGCCTGAATGTTACCTCCCGCATAGTGTGGGGAACCCTTTGAATTGACGGCACTTGGGCGTTGGTGGGGACGTCCATGGTGGAGTTGGCAGCAAAGACCTTGGCTAGCACTTCCGCCTTGGCCTTTGAGTCGAATACAATAGTTCCATCCTGACACGTAAGTGGTGGAAGGCTACTGTGTGAGAAGTTCTTTTCAATCTGCTTGGCCAGCTTCCAGAAAGACCGACTGCCATTGCGCTGCGACATTACCCTGTGCCTAACTTATATATCATGCTGGTTTTTGGCATTGCGAACCGCTTCGTTATATTTGTTTCTGGACTCGACGTCGGCTTGTCTGTTCTCTACAGTGGGGTTTTGTAAGTAGGTTCTGTGGGCCTTGATCTTCTGCTGGCGAGCAGTGTCACACGATTTGTTGAACCAGCCGTCGGACCCTGGTTTAGGAACTTTCACTGTGTGAGGGATGTATTCCTCCATTCCGACGTGGATAATTTCGGTTATTGAAGAACAGACAGTCGACGCATCCGCGTCAGTGAAACAGACATCTCTCCAAGGAAAGCTAGAGAAGAAGTCTCTGAGCCCCTCCCAGTCGGCATGTCCGTAATGCCAAGTTTTGCGGCCTGTGCGAGTTTCTGCTGCCACAGCGGCTTCTGACCGAAACCTAACGTCCACAACACCGTGATCTGAGTTACCCAGGGGGGACAGGACAGCAGTGCTGTAAGGGGCAGGATGCGTAGTCAGAAAGAAATCCAGCAGGCTACTGGCGTGTGACGAGATGCGGGGGAAAAATGTAGGGCTCGTGACCAGCTGGGTCAGCCCTTGAGTAAGAGCGAACGCTTCGACTGCACGACCTGCTGCATCGGTCTTATTTGAGCCCAACCAAAGCTCATTATGGGCATTGAAATCACCGAGAAGAACTACCTCTGAAGCGGGGTGATTGATGTTCAGGAAGTCGATCTGGACGGCGAGGTATTCGAGTAGGTCATCCCAGTTATGGTTCGAGGGAGAGCGATAAAGGCAGCAAATAAATTTGGGTGATGTTTTGGAGTTGAGGCGAAGCCGCAGAATGTCCTTCCGGTCTGATTCCAAAGAAAGATCCCGGGACCAGGAAAGACTGCTGCGGACAAAAGCCACAACTCCCCCGTTCTTTCTCAGATTGGAGTGCACCTCGTAGTTTGGGAAGTTGAGATGGTTAATCGGTGCAGTCTCTGAGATTTTTGTCTCCGCCAAGAAAAGCACGGCGGGACGATTGATTAGCTAAAAAGCTCGAGGAAAAAATTCCCGCAATGGTTATTATACATTGTGTTATTCATCGGCAAGCTTTGGCGTCCAAAACATTGCCACAGAAATTACGCCAGACTTTGGACTCGGCTATAAGGATTGTAAACTACATCAAGAGCAGCGCTTCGAACAGTCGGTTATTTACTTTACTTTGCGAGGATCTCGATTCTGATCACAAAGTTCTTCTGTTCCATACAGAAGTACCCTGGCTGTCCAAAGGCAACATGTTGGCTCGCCTTTATGAATTGAAAGAAGAGGAAATTCTTTTTCTTGAGTTCAAAGAAAAACAATTCCTTGACAATGTTCAAAGAAGACACATTTCAATGGAGGTGGGCTGAATGAGCTAAACTTGAAACTTCGGGGCAGAAACAACACTATAATTAGCAATTATGATTATATTCAGGGGTTCATGTCAACCTATTCGTCCATGAAAAATGACCTCCACCTGTTAACATTGGAGAAATTTTGGATCAAAAGATTGCTTGTTAATTCGACACTTGCCTCTCTTGCTTTACGAGCACTAGTTCTTTTTTCTTCAACTTATTTATGTGAAACATGCCTTTCTGCTCTAGTTTTAATTAAAACTAAACAGCGAAATCGTCTTGATGTCGAAAACGACCTGATGATAGCTCTGGCAAAAACAGAACACAGAATCAACCAACTGGTACAGAACATACAATCTCAAGTGCCTCATTAGAACCTACTTTTGTTTTATTCAAGTTTTTGGATAAAAAACATTTATTAGTTTATTTAAACTTTTAAAGTTTGTTTATTAGAATTAAAATAAAAGTCTTTGTACCTATATAATGTGCGCTTTTTGTATTTATTGAAAAAGTAAAGAGGGACATGAAAATATAATTTATAGTCCGGGGAGCCTCAACAAAAAAAGGTTGGAAAACCCTGGTTTAGGTCGTCACACCATAAGCTGCTCTAGTTTTGATTATAGGCGAAACGTCATATTCAGGAAACACTTGAATCTTTGATCGTCTCTCCAAATGCTTGAGTGATCCATTTTCTCACAAGATAATGCCCGTTGTCAAATTAACACGATCAAGCCAATCTCATTTTTTGCCTGCTAGACCTCCAGACTGAACATGTGACCTCTTTACGTCATCCTCCACCAACGCTAGCAGCTGCTCTAAGCCAAGTACAGCTAGCTTGAGATGAGATAGACCAAGAAAACATGAAGCACCTTTCTCCGAAGCATGCCTAGACGACTGGATGGATAGAGTGGTCCAACGCAACATATCAAATGTTTTCACTTCAAAACTTAATCACGAATTACTCTTGTTTGTGTCTAAAATTTATTATTCTCGTACATTCCATTCGAGTAAAATCATTTCACTGGGTGTTCTATTTTCCTTTTCACTGAGTATATATTTTGTTTCGAACGAGAAGCACTGGGTCAACCTACTTGACACATTTTTTCAAAGAGACCATCCTAAACGAGAAGTGTACATACGCAACTAGTATGAATGCATCCAGTCTGCAGTGCAAGAGGATATCTTTTGTCCGTGACTATTCACCTTTACATCAGAGATAATTGCATATGCCAAGGTAGACCGGTATAATACTTCTTCCTTCCACTGTTGCCTCTTCCCAATTACCATTCGTGCGGTGCGGTGAGTACGTTTGCTGTTTGACCCAATGCCCCACGCCCATAGGCCATTGGCAGCGAGCACAGCTTGCTTTGACCCGGTTTGCATGGCGCATCATCACGCTATCACCTTTGTGCCTCGCCGGTTCTTCGAGTTATTCTATTTTGTAGAAAGCATACAACTATAGTGTATTTACACACAAGAGAGAGAGATAGAATTCAGGGCTACCTCCGAATCATGGACTACCACCAACGTGTTGTAAAACAAAGATGACAGTATTTAACGAAATTATCTAATATAGTGAAGTAGTTATAGTTAAGGGTGTCGCAAAATCAAATTTTTATTCTTGAAGGGTTGCTAAGTTTTTCTACAGATTTTTCAAACTAGACAACATGGAGAAATACATACCAGAGGTAACCAGCTGCTCACTATGCACAATGAATCCGTAGTCAACGAGGGGTAGAGATGACACTTTTATACATGGAATAAATATAAGGCTGTTCAATCAATTGAAAATAGAGAGGTGCACTTCGGACTTGAATTGTCTGTAGTTTATCTGTAAGTTAATATTTCACTATAACTAGTATTCCCATAATATGTATTCTGTGACAAAACAAAAACGCGAAACTT